GTCCGGACTTGCAATAAAGAAATCATATACATATGTGTATACGAAGTTGAGACTTCGAAGGACATCGCCGATGAAACTCTGGAACGTTTGTGTAGAATTTCTCAAACCAAAAGACACTCACTGGGGAGAGTGATGAAAACTGATTTTGAGATGTCATCCGCAGCCATGAGAATTTGATTATGTGCTTTAATCTGGTCGGACTTCGAGAAAGCATTCAAGCATTTTAAAATAGCTGTCAGGTCGTGGATATGTGACGAAAGATGACGATTGAGAGTGGTTTTCGTATTAATATGCAGTCACCATTTGGAAGTAAATCGTTGTTGTCCTTCTTAGGATATTTTGAAAAATGGTTCGACCATATGTTTAACTATGATTGGGCATAATCTAAAATCAGAAAATGGGCTTCTATAAACAAATAATTTACTTGTTCCGTTCACTAACCTCCATTTGCTAGGGTTGATAATTAGCTTATGGTGTTGCAACTGGTTTATACCAATGATTGACATAGAAATGTTTGCACAGTCTGAACTTTTCTAAACATCTAGACTAAAGCACTTGAAATTCGGAAATTGCCTAACTTCATGCATCGTAAATTCTTTCAAATTGAATCTACATTCATTCTTTACAAGATATGCATGAGATAAGTCGTAGAGTACAACGGGTATTCTCGCGCTAAATGCATATGACTGACTTGCTTAATGAGTGTCGCTCTCGATCTCATATTCTGAGACTTGAAGCCCTCTGGAAAAGAAGGCTTCAAGCTCCTCGAAAATCTTACTTACACAACTTGTGATATAATTATTACCCAAGACTCGCATATATACGAAATTCGAGATAAAGTTTCTACGGTCGAAGTTGAAAGTCACAGATCTGTAGTGGCATTGTGCCCTAACCACTCAATCATCAAAGCAGAACACGAGACAATTGGCGAAATTGATATTCAACATTTAACGTTGGGAAAAACCCAACGATGGAGAAGGCGGGAAAAGTGAGTGGAGAGTTGATTCTAATTGAACGGATGGCATGGTTCGGGCTTGCAGGCGTGGTCCCTGTTGAATGTTATCTTATATCTTTTGTTCATATTAAATATATTGTCTTATCTCTAGCCTAAGCTTGTTCTACATAATGTATTGGTGGTTGTTACGGTACTATGAATTGGTGTAGATGATAATGTGACTTCCAAGTAGGACCTTATGGATTAGACAGTTATGTCATGACAAGTCTACAATTTTAGGACTAGGTCTATTATTAGAGCAGTACTAATATCGTAGTAGACCATAATTCTAGAGATCCAAAACCTTCTTCCTCATCAAGGATGGATTATTATGGATCATTCTTTCCACAGAAATATGCATGGCAAGTAGAATACATACGTGTTTAGCACTTCTTGATGAAGCCTTCGCTTGCACTGGCATAGCGTGTGCAAACACATCTGCACCATACTCAGATATAATAGGCCCTCTACATGCCTAAATCATATCAGACTCCGAGCTTAATTTCATTTTCTCTTCGTCTTTGCAGTTGTATTTGATGTCGCCTGAGCTATATGTTCCTCCCTAATTCTCCCTTGAGGTAAACAGATAACTCATTGGGCTTGTCGATGCTGCCCAACTTTAATCGCCCTCAAGAGGAGCTCATTATTATCTAAGAGAGTTGTCGAGTGAACTTTACAATCTTTTGTATACTAACAGTAATCTAGCTACTATGGAGCCTGTAACCCACCAACCAGTCGGGATCGCACAAAATACCATCAACACTGAGTCAGCGTAAGTTCTTTCTCATCTGTTTCCCATTAGTTTACTGCATTTACTAGCACACTGCTGACTTACAATCAACTCCACTTCACTAACCGTTGCCTTATGACCATTTTATTCCCACACTTATCCGCCTGCTTCAGTAAACATCTGTCCTTCATTACACACTTCTAAACATTCATACATTGTTTATAAAGTCACAATTTATACTATAGTCATTTAAAGCATTGCATCGATGCCCTACTCACAGTTCATAAATTGTAACCACCTGATAAGCTGGTAAATATTAAATATGGAAATAGTTTTCCCTACATATATACGCATATTAACTCTTGCATGGAAACATAAGCTTCCCACCAGAATTCTCAATCAAATTCTATCTTCCGCTCTGCTTTCACGATGTTTCCAAGTGCTATTCATTCTTTTGATGAATGCTTCCAACTCCCAATGAAATGTGCTCCTTGGTCTTCCTCTTTTCATTTCAACTTCAGGACTCCAAGTTAGCGCTTGCTTCAATGTGCAGTTTGATTATTTGCACAGTGAATATCCTATCCACCCACAACGTCTTTTGCCAATTTCCTCTTCAACTGGAAACTGGTTTGTTCTCTCCCACAGTAGTTTATTGTCGATGACATCCGACCAACATATGTTGAGTATCTTGAGTAGACATTTGTTTATAAATACTTGTACCTTTTTGATTATGGTTGTGCTAGTTCTCGAAGTTTCAGCTCCGTACAGTAGGACTGATTGACTATCTGTCTTGACGTTCGCATTGAAGATTGTAACTTTGATGTTGGTTGAGAGACGGTTGTTTGGAGTTGCGTATGTTGTTCAACTGTAGGGATGCTGCGCTTACTTTTCGAATCCTTGTCTCTACTTGTGCATCAGATCCTCCTTGTACATCGATGATGATGCTGCTGACTAGGTGGGATAGGATTGCTAGGCCATCTGCGAAGTTCGAATTGTCTAGTTGCATGGAAGCTGTCCATTGTATTCCGTGCTTCCCGTCAGATGTGGAGGTCTTCATAATCCAGTCGACTACTGTAGAGAAATAGTGCGTGTTCTAAATGTGGCTCATCAACTTTGTAGAGGCTAGTGTCCTCTATGTCTGACTCCAATAAATAGTATCCCGTTAACTGAGTATTTAATGCAGGCTGAATCTCCTAGTAGAATTATCGATTTACTCGAGATTATTTAAAAGTCTGAACACCAGTTATAGAGATAGTTTACTGTTAAAAATTGGTAAAATCCGCAAGCGTACACGAAGCAAGCACACAGTGAAAAAAAGTGTATGTGTGTGTGAGTGTGAGTGTTAAAAATCCATATATATATTTATGAGTGTTAATCAAGTATGGTTAAATTATTGATTATCTGTGTATTACAACCAATGGGAGAATAGAAATGAAAATTGATGTGCAGACATGTGGTCGGTCATACTCACACAGAAATTTACATGGTGGACTAAGTGTCTAAATTACAGTGAGCGGATAAATAATACAGTAATGGAATGGGCTTACTACATGTACATAATGTTCTCCTATCCACACAGTCAAACGCCCTATCATAGTCAAGGGAGTTGGTGTATAATGACCAGTTCCATTCACTTGATGGCTTAATAAGGAAGATCTGTGTGTGCTGCCTCGATGTATGGTGGTTTGAGTGGAGCTGATCGATTCATGATTCGCTCAAAATGTTCAAAGTACCCACTTGTTCCTCTGTCCCTGAATGTCGGTGATTGTCCTGCCTTATTTGTCCTTGACCGGTCTCTCTGGTTTACTAAATTTCCGTGCCAGTTCCATCATTGTGTCATATAGTTGTTGACAGGTCAGGTCCCTTCCTGGATACTTCACTACGATCAACTGAAGCATGTCATAGAACTGATCTTTGTCGTCCTCATTGCTATCTTTGATGGGTGAATAGCACTGAACAGCACTTGTTTTAACTCCCGTCTTATTTGATTTGAAGGATGCTCTTATGATTCTGGATCCATGAGATTCCCATCCTATAAGTGCATCATGTGTTTCTTTGAACAGCATCAGTTCAACTCCCTGAGTATGTGGAGCATTTCCTTCTCCATGACCAGAGCACAACATCACCTCTTCTAAATCTAATCTTTTCTGTCCAGCTTGTGTCCAATGGGTTTCATGATTCCGAGCACCGTCGACTTGTATCTCATCATTTCCGTAGCTATTCGACTGGTCTTTTCGGTCTCCCACAATTTTTGGACTCTCCATGTGCCTACATTAATTGTTGCTCTGGTTGTTATGAGAGGCATCAGCCTCGGTACTTCCGGAGAATCTTGGGTTTCACTATGAGGCATCATAATCCTGAATAAAGACCCCTCAACTTAGAGGACAGAGTTTGAATGGTATGAATTGTTTATTCTGGTTAGTGTTTTTTTTACGAGATGGTGTTGCCGACCCCATACCCAACACTCCTTTATTTGAGTTTGGTACCGGCGTTAACCCCAGATTGCATTTAGGTGGATTTCAGATGAATAAATGCCAATAAATAGTGATGTGCGAAAGGCAACTTGATACACAAGCGTACTGATCCAAGTTCCTATAAATTTTGTAAATCCATAGAGGAATGTATACCAGTAGAAAGAGGGAGAGTAAGAAGCATTGTCTGACTCCGGTTTTCATTTGGAATATGCTTGTCAATTTGTATGGAGGCTGTTTATTGTAGTCCGTGTTTCGTCTGAAATGTGGACGCCTACATAATTCAGCCAACCACTAGAGCGAGAGAATAAGAGGCGAGAGTGAGTAGCCTTGACTGATAGTGGTTCTCAATTGGAATGTGCTTGTCAGCCGTCCTTTGTGCACCACATTGAAGTGTAGTCCGTCATATGAATTCCGTATGAAGGTTGATAATCTTCCTAAGTACTCACTCCATAGTACCGAACAAGTGTCCATAATGTTCTCCTATCCACACAGTCAAACGCCCTGTCATAATCAAGGGAGTTGGTGTATGGTGAGTAGTTCCATACGCATTTAACTTCTCCAGAGTCACTACCTGTACAAAGCTGGCACAGAGCGGGGGTTTGTTGTGAGGTAGACAACCTCATCCCTTAGATAACAGGCTTGCTATAAATATACCAACTAGTGTTTTCCTGTAGGATAAGAAACATCGAGGATCAATTTGGACATGATATTTTAACTAAAATTAATTTTTAAAGGGTCTAAAGTCTGTTACTAGATACGGAAAGCTACTTCTCTTCCGTCCGTAACCATTTGAAACATTTGAACTATTTACCGAGCTCAACTGGCGCGGCGAGTTTGCAGTTAGTTGATACGAGATGCCCCCAAAGAAAAATGAACCTTCTAAAAAGAATGTGGACAAACAGAAGCAGAAAATCGTTGAAGTAGTCCATAAATTTCGCCAACACTATTTTTCTTCAAGGACAAAACTTTTGGAATGAAAAATAAAAAAGGGGCTAAGCAACAAAAGTTCATCCAACAAGTACAAAAACAAGTTACCCAAGGTAACAGGTCGGCTAAAGAGGTGCGAAACCATTTTCTAGTCGAATTTCATTTAGTTGGAGCGTGAAAAACAATCGAAGGAAGACAAGAAAAAAGAGAAGGTCGAACTTAATGAATTGTTCAAACCTGTGTTAGAATTACAAAAGTGTGCGAAAGGTGAGTGGTATATATTGTGCTAGCTGTATTCCTCAGGAGTTGATCCAAAGTCAGTTCTGTGCGTCTTCTTCAAACAGGGTTTGTGTGCCAAAGGTGACAAGTGCAAATTCTCCCATGACTTGACTGTTGAACGGAAGGCTGAAAAGCGTGGGATTTATTCAGAATCTGATAAAACGGACGGTACTATGGATGACTGGGATATAAATAAATTAGAAGAAGTTATAAGCAAAAAGCACGATGCTGATAACAAAGGGTTGCCACCGAGTACTATAGTAAGTTGTGAGTTTTTACATCAGATCTTTAGGTATGTAAGTACTTCATTGAAGCAGTGGAAAATTTCAAGTATGGTTGGTTTTGGGAGTGCCCGAATGGAAAGACATGTCACTACAGACATGCCTTGCCTTCTGGTTTGCTTGCGTTTGCAACTAATCGTTTTAGGTTTTATCTTACAACGAGATAAGAAGAAAATGGAAGAACAGAAGGAGATAATATCCATAGAGGATTTAGTTGAACGAGAGGTATATATAAACCATAAAACCACTCATTGATGTTTCCTATTCATCTTGGTATTTGTGGGTAATCTTGTTTTGTCACCTATTTCTTACGTAGTGATAAAAGTGAATAAAAGTAGCTTTCGATGTAAACTGGTACGTAATTCGGTCATATGTTGGCACGAGTATATGAAGACCTATTTCAGTCAAATTCGTAATATCCAGATCTCCCTGTTCATCTGTCACTGTTGAAAAAAGGATAATGTATTAAACGCTAGAGTAGACGTGCTGATAGTGCTAAGACATCCATAAAGGCTTAGTTATTTGAATTTTCGTTTGGCAGATTTGAAAGTCAAACTAGAAGGGGCATTAAAATGAAGGGATAAAGTGTCTTAAAAGATATTTTGATACCAGTGAAAAATAATGGATATTGGTACATCACGTAGTAGGTTCAGCCACTGACTTCTAAATTTCTTAATACACATCACAAAGCTTAGCATAAAGTCGATAAGTACACATATTAGGTTTTAATAAACTATATACCGATTAGCACGTGACAGTTAGTATTTATTTACTTATTTGAACACATAAATATTGGTACAAGAGGGCACCAAATATATATGCGCCACTTGCCAAGGGGAACATCACTTCGTCTAAGTTCAGAAGCTAACAGGCTCGATAAAATTCCTTTTAGATGAAAACAGTGACATCAAAAAAAAAACATTGGTGACAAACTAACTCCCGAAACAGGTATCTATAATCATAGATTGGAGTCCTATGTTTATTGGAAAAGTCGTGTTCAAGTTTACAGATCTGGAAGATAATTCTAGATTGTGCTACAATGTGAATGGTTTTCGATGTATATTTTGTTAACTGATTACAGGCATTAATCTAAGATTGTTAGCAATACTCTTAGATTCTGTTCCAAAACACTTCGTCCAATCTTTCAGTGGAAATTTTTTTGTATAGGGTGTTCAAACGTTCTAGTCCTTTCATATAAAAGGAATGAAAAAAGTTAGGGGTTTAGTTAGGGACCGAGATGGGATTCTGAACCGGATATAATCTAGGGTTGATTATAAAATTGAGAGCTTATATGGTCAAGTTCACGAGTATTTTTTCAATCATCATGCTATAAGAACAAAATAAACTCAGTTTAAACAATCTATTATTTGGTTTATTTATATAGACTATATTTAGTCCTAAATAAATAATTCAATCTGTGAGCAGTTAATCCTTAGTATTTAAACCAGCTTTATACTTCTATTTGTTCTTTTACTGTCTTAGGCGCATTTTTGGTTCGTTACATTAAGATTACGTTTACGGGTCATTAAAACTGACCTGCTTTGATGCTAACAACTGAGGTCTTGTTATTTGATCTAACATGTGGTCTTACATGGGATTCTTATCTTTTAGAGGCAAGCCCTTGGACTTAATCAAACCAGAGTTACGTTACATACATTTATGGAATGGAAGAAACGAAAGGTAACGCGTTTTCATCCAAGACTTACCGTATTCTAAAAGAGGCTTGAGAAAATCGAGAAGCGATATGCCGATAAAGCGATGCGAGAAGCTAGTTATAAACAAGGCCGTTCCGCAGGGGTAAGTTGTTTTAGCTTTTATTATTTAATTTGTTTACTTAATGTACAAAATCTTAAACATCTAGGCATAAAGATTGTGACACATGAATAAGAATACAATATGACAAAATAAACGAGGGGAGGTAAGTAGAATTATATTACAGGAGCTATAGTTAAGTTAAAAATACAGTGGAAAAAGCCCTTTCAGTTAAGTTTTCCATACTTTTATGAGAAATTTATAATAAAACGATAGTAGGATCACTACTGACTTCTTTTCCGACCCATGCCTGATAATATTTCAAGACAATGAGTTCGAGCATCTCTAGGCATTTGTATGGTTTAAATTGATGCAAGGTTTTAAGATCAATTACCAGAGCGATTTTCAACTGGCCTTTGGAAAATCTTTTGAAGTCATATCCGGACCTTGACGTGGTGATCGGGCTTGCCTATCGTGATGACCCAACCGAGCTATATTGGCTGGAACATATGTTCCTGCAGGTTCTACCATGCCTGGCAGGTCTGTTGGAGAACGGTTAGACTAAAAGCAGGAACTCAAGGTCTGCGGGTGAGGTCGTACTGCTGACTGTAGAGGGGTGTGACAGCAGTAAGGTGTTTCCCTCGGACAACCAGCATCTTTAGCGATGCTGCCTTCTCACAAGGGACGAAGGAGTTAGAAAACGTCAACTCTAAAAATGTCACGCCTCACCTTACCTCACGGATGTCCGTCTCCGACGGTAACGCCCTTTAAAGAACGGAGCTAACACGTTAAAAACTTCCCACAGAAAAGCCTTGTTCTACCAGTCTCAAGCAGTTGTCCTTTGGGCTCTGCGGTCACGATCCCAGGTCGTTAAGACCAACACTAATCCAACTTCTTTTCCAGGTTCCTCAAGAAATACCCTTCCACGGTGTGGAAGTGACATCAGCCCTCATACCCGTAACAGCATATGAGACCAAGTTGGCCACATTCCAATCTTTCCTACACCTAATAGCTCTCTTATCTCCACGACTAACCCTTATCACGTCCCTTTATCACTTCGCACCGCTAGTGCAAACGATTCGAGTACGCGGGACGTTATTCCTGGTCTCCTGAAACCACGCTTTAATCTATATGTAAGAGCTTATAATGTCTGAACACTGCCAAATAGGACAACAGGCTTCCTTAGCTAGGACTTTAGAATCTCTCACCATCGATGTGTGCTGCGTCTCCGAAACGCGCATACAGGATCCGAGTAGCGTCATTCACTTGACCTCACCATGCCAAAATAAAGAACCAACTCGATTCACGCTTCGTGTATCTGGAAGTCCTGATACTGCTTTCCGTGACCTCACTAGTGTAGGTATAGCGTTGGGTCCTAGGGCAGAACTAGCTCTCTTAGACTGGATCCCAATAGACAGTCGTTTGTACGCTGTCCGACTAAACGGAACAGTAAGAATCCGAAAAGATAGGGACACTCGTCGTTGCCTCTTCGTCGTCTCTGCCTATTCTCCCACTGACTGCAGCACAGATGATGTAAAAGATGAGTTTTACAGAAAGCTCTCCGACCTTCTCCGAAAAGCTAGGCGCTCGGATGTAGTAATAATGGCTGGTGATTTTAATGCTCAAGTAGGTAAACTAAGCGAAAGGGTAATACATCTAGGTGGATCTTATAGTGTCGTGGCTCAAGGAACAGATAATGGCGACCGTCTGTTGCAGCTGTGCTCAGATAACCGCCTGTTCCTTGCAAATACTAACTTTAAACATAAGGAAAAACATCTTTTAACATGGCGACCTCCGAATTTGTCCCAACGTTGGACCCAAATAGATCACATCGCTATCAGCCACCGATGGAGGGGCTCGATAGAAGACTGTCGCTCATTCTGGAGCATGTGCTTAGATTCAGATCATGCTCTAGTACGAGCGCGTATTTGTCTGCGTCTTACTGGACGTAGGAAAGACACTTCAAGGAAACCTCTTAGAGTCCTGCTTAATGACAGCCAAGCTAAAAATATATTTCAGGAACAACTAGAAAAAGTTAGGCAGCATGGAATGATGTCCGAAAAGCTGTGGAAACAGCAGTGATATCTACTAGTAAGGTCTAAGGAGAAACACTGGATCTCAGCAGCATCTACCGCACTGATAGATGCTCGAAAATTCATTCCACCTGGCTCTGAACATAATGAGGAGCGGAGTCAGCTTAAGCGCAAGCTGACAAGAAGTCTACGCAATGACCGTGAACAGTGGTGGGTGGCGAAAGCAAGAGAGATGGAAAAGGCAGCGGCAATAGGTATTAGCAGACAATTGTTCAGACTTGTTAAGGAGACCGGTATTAGGAAACCGACTGTTAGCGAAACAACCTCAGAGAAGAATGGACATATTCATTCTCAATCCAGGGGATTTGATCAATGGGTAGAACACCATAGGGATCAGTTCAACTGGCCTTCAGCCACGCTTCGGTTTCCCACAATTTTCAGTCGACCTGAATGGCAAGTTAATGTAAGTCCTCCAACTCTTTACGATGCTGAAAAAGCTACAGGAAATCTGAAGCGAGGGAGAGCAGAAGGCCCTGACAGGTTTATCTCTGAGATTTTTAAGGAAGGTAGTCCGGTATTAGCAGTGAGATTAACCGAGGTCTTAGGTAGAATTTGGGAACTAGACGTAATCCCATCCGACTCTGGTCTCAATCACTGATTGTGCCAGTCTATAAGAAAGGAAAAGTCCTCTTGTGACAAGCACAGAGGAACCAGTTTGACTAATATAGTGTCTAAAATATTAGCTTCAATAATACTTCGACGCCTAACCAAAGCTCGTGAAGAGCAGACTAGAGAAAATCAGGCTGGTTTTCGACCTGGACGTGGTTGTATAGACCAGATATTCACACCACGTTGGGTCCTAGAACATAGACACACGTTTAGGCGCCCCCCTCATTCGACTCTGTTGATCGTGAGGTTCTATGGCAGTGTTTGTCACTGAAAGGGGTACCAAAGAAGTACATTAACCTTATAAAGGATCTCTACTCGAACACAACTGGTCGAGTGAGAGCTTATGGCGAACTGCCATCAGAATTGATTACCTCAAGTGGTGTTCGTCAGGGCTGTCCACTCTCCCTATTCTTATTTAACTTTTTCGTTGACGTGCTTTTAGAGATAACACTTTCCTCATCTAAATTTCCAGGGGTTGAACTTCTACCTGGAAATTCACTTTTTGACCTAGAATATGCTGATGACATAATTCTATTTGGTGAAGACGCTGACAAAATGCAGAGTCTTCTGACCACTCTAAGCAACAATGCAGGCATGTTCGGAATGCGATTCTCCCCCTCGAAATGTAAAATGTTGCTTCAGGATTGGGTTGCATCGACACTCGAACTAATGATAGAGAGTGAAGTGGTTGAGCGTGTCGACCTCTTCACTTATCTTGGAAGTCTCATCAGCTCTTGTGGTCTGGCGTGTTACAAAATCTCAGCACAGATACAGAAGGCTCGACTAGCTTTTGCCAACTTGCGTCACTTACGGAGTAGGCGAGATATCCGTCTATCAACCAAAGGACGTGTTTACTGCGCAGCAGTTCGTTCCGTCCTACTTTATGGCAGTGAAACATGGTCGGTAAGAGCACAGGATATTTGTAGGTTACTAGTATTCGATCATAAGTGTCTTCGAAACATTGCTCGGATATCATGGGACCATCGAGTAAGTAACACAGTTGTTAGGAAACGGGTACTAGGTAAGAATGACAAATCAATTGATGAAGTAGTGAAACTTCATCAGTTGAGATGGCTGGGACACGTGTTACGTATGCCCAACGACCGACTGCCACGACGTGCGATGTTCAATGGTATAGGAGTAGGTTGGAAGAAAGCTAGGGGCGGCCAGACCAAAACATGGCACAAGTCCATGAAGTCACTGACAAGTGGACTGAGTCATGTTGGTAGGTGTAGACTACCTGGTTGGGGACCGCGAGATGATAGCAACCGATGGTTAGAGACCCTGAATGACATGGCTCAAAATCGTTTGCAATGGCGCAGGTGCATCCACTCTTTGTGTTCTCCCAAATTCTAATCTTCTGAATTCTTCATGTCCCTTTCTTTTTTCTCTTTCCAAATTTATTTCACTGGATTATACTCCTTGAATAACATCTTCAAACCCTAATTTTTCTGATAACATCTTATAATTTTACTACATCTAGCACTACGGGATTTGAATCGACAACTGCATCTCTGTGGTAAGGTGGTGTGGCAACTCGAACTGATGTACGTACTTACGAAGTTATACGTTGTTACTAACTGATTGACTTTGAAGCCATATGTCTACCAATTTTTGGTTATCAGAACAATTTTGTTTATAATTTAGAAGGGTATGTTGATTATATAACCTTGAATATACTTTCCACTTTTTCTTCTCAGCGGAATGTTATAAAAAAGCAGAGAAAACGTTTTGAGGAGAGTAGTCTAATATGTATGATGGTGTAGAGGTTTATTTATTTATTTCGGTGGAAAAAGAAAACAAAAGAATATTTTTAGTCGATGGCTTCAGGCGTCGATGTAAAAGTGGAAACAGATAGGTCATATTACTATCCTTATGGGAGACTATCTAACATTTTTCCTACTGGTATGCGATTAGATTGGCACTGCTTATTGTCCTAAGTACATCAGTGTCACTGTTTATGCTGAATGTAAAGAATAAAAAGAAATCTGGTTCTCGTCTGTATACTATATTTTTGTAATTGTATTTGATAAAAAAATATTATCAGCCGTCTGTTGAAGCTTAAGAATGACATCTAGCGTGAGACTGGTGAGTTTCGAACTGAATGAAACGTACATCCTACTTTCAATACTAGTCATTACCAAATGAGATCAACTTTTTGAGCCATGTTTGGGTTACGAGCAAAGTTTTATGGGTTTGCTGAATTATTTATTATATTGCGTTTATCGGAGTAAGCCAATAGAGCTCCATGATAAATGAAATAAGGCATCTAATAGACCCACAAAATCACGCAGTACTAGTCTTCTTGAGAACTTTAGGGTGCTGTCATGAAGTTTACTGAGTGATAGTGATTAATTTGAGTGTGTTTGGCGAAATGAATTGAAGTGGATTATATTATTGTTTTCTGTAAACGACACATTTCATCAATTCCATAATTATTTGTTCCTAACAAACTGATATCACCTTTTTATTTGACTAAATACCTTTTTGATTCCTCGTGGTGTGTTGAAACTTGGCCTAATTCACTGTTTTGTCAAATCTACATAAGCTAGTTTCCTTGTTTGCATGACTATGAGGTTGCATCAGTACAGGTTGTGATGTTATAATTCCTCTCATTACAACCCAGTTATTCCTATTGCTTAGTATTCTTGGATACTACTTCACCCGACAAGTCTCTAAAACAGAACAAAGTTGAACAGGAACGAAATTATGTTCCAAATAACAAGGGTAGATGGAAGTAGGAAACACAATAAGAAGAACGTTAGTATATTTACGGTTTTTACATGAGAAGATTCTAGTGTTCTCCAAGTATCAACTAGCGCTATTTGAATAGGAGATAGCCAATCAGCGCGCACCAACACAATCGTTCACGGAACGTGCTTTAATCCAGTCTATATTCTCCCAACAGAAAGGTTCTTATGGTGTCATTGGCTTCATAAGTGCATTAAAAATTTTCGATTTTTACACACTAATTTATGCCATCTTCATAAAGTTATTTTATTCTTTACTTATTACTTTTAATTATTTCTAAAAGAAATGGTTGAAATGGATTATATTATTCCCATCTTTTGCTTGTTTCATATTTGTTGATCCCAATTGTAGATAAGTGGCCGGGAGATTTTTGAGTTTGATCCAGCATTGGTTATGGAGGCGCTGGATGATGACGAGACATCTGGAGTTGTTGACTCTAGAATTCGTGATGATGGAGAAAATGAAGTTAGTATACAATTTAATCTTATTTGTTTCTTCCTAAATTTAAGTCATTGGTTGTCGAAATTGTGACTTATTAGTATAAACGCCAGACTTCCAACCTCTGATTTTTGATTATCAACCTCATCTAGTGTATTGAGATTGGGGTAATCAAAAGTAACATTAGGTTTAATACTGTACATGTATCTCAATTTTCACTTGAACGACAAATCACAGCAAACTAACTATTACCATGAAAACGTACCGAACGTCAACTAACGAAAAGAACTTTAAATCGATATGTAAATTTTAAGGTTGATTTCTTCCGAATGAATTATATCTAAATTATATCTAGCCCGACCGTTGTTGCTACCTTGACGTGGTGGTCGGGCTTGCCTATCGTGATTAAGCGACCGAGCTATACTGGCTGGAACAACCGTTCCTCAAGGTCCTATCATGTCAGACAGGTCAGTTGAAGAGCGGTAAGAATAAAAGCAACAAATCCAAGGTCCGAAGGCGAAGTCGTACTGCTGACTGTACAGAGGTGTGACAGCAGTAAGGTGTTTCCTACAGACAACTAGCATGACAGCGATGCTGCCTTCCCACAAGGAGGGGTGGGGTTAGAAAAGGTCGAACGTAAAAATGCAAACCTCCCCTTACCTCACGGATTTCCGTCTCCGGCGTTAAGGCCCTTTGAAGAACAGAGCTAACACGTCAAAAACCTCCCATAAAAAGTTCGTGTGTGACCGACCTCAAGCAGTTGTCTCTTGGGCACTGCGGTCACGCTCTCAGGTCACTGAGACCGCCTCTAATCCAATTTCCTTTTCAGGTACCTCCAGAAGAACCCTTCCACGGTGTGGGCAACCGGGAAGTGATAACCGCCCTCATACCTATAACAGCACCCAAGATCACTGTATTCATAACCAACCTTCCTCTTCAATTCCTATTATTCCTCCTACATCGACTTTCAACTATAAACTTCCTCTTTCGGCTTCCTCCTCAAGTGTCACCATAGCCAACGATTCTAGTGCTCAAAACTCTGTCCCAGGTCTACTGAAACCTCGCTCCAAACTACACATTGGAGCCTTCAACGTACGCACCCTATGTCAAATCGGTCAGCAGGCTTCCTTAGCTAAAACCCTAGAGTTTCTTTCCATTGATGTATGCTGTGTCTCCGAAACACGCATACAGGATTCCAGTGTCATTCACTTGACCTCACCTCGGCAAAACGGAGAGCCAACGAAATACACTCTACGTGTATCTGGTGACCCTATGGCCAGTTCTCGTGGACTGGCAGGTGTAGGCATAGGACTAAGCATGAGGGCGGAACAAGCACTGCTAGAGTGGATCCCCGTCAACAGTCGTCTATGTGCTGTTCGGCTGAACGGCTCCGTAAGAACTCGGAAGGATAAGGACACACGTCGTTGCCTTTTCGTCGTTTCTGCCTACGCTCCCACTGACTGCAGCTCAGATGATGTGAAAGATGAATTTTACAGAAAGCTTTCTGAACTTCTTCAGAAAGCTAAACGCTCAGACATAGTACTCGTAGGGGGTGACTTTAATGCTCAGATAGGTAGCTTAAACCAAACAGAAAGGCATTTAGGTGGATATTTTAGCATTCCGGCACAGCGAACAGATAATGGTGACCGTCTGCTGCAACTGTGCTCAGACAATCGCTTATTTTTAGCAAATACAAATTTTAAGTATAAGGAGAGACATCGTCTAACGTGGCGACCGCCTGCACCAAACCAACGATGGACTCAAATAGACCATATTGCTATCAGTCATCGTTGGGGAGGGTCGGTACAAGATTGTCGCTCGTTCTGGAGTACCTGCTTGGACTCCGACCACGCCCTAATACGGGCACGCATCTGCTTGCGCCTCACTGGACGCAAAAAAGCCACAGTAAAAAGACCCATTAAAACCGAACTGAGTAGCGAGGAAACCAAAAGTAGGTTCCAGGAACAACTGAGGTCACGGTTAGGCAGTTCTGAAGACGAGGCTGACCCAGATGTTGCTTGGAATGAAATACAAGCAGCTGTGGAAACAGCAGTGACATCTATTAGCGACTTAAACCACAGAGTTTCAAAGAACCAGTGGATTTCTTCAAAGTCTATCATACTGATGGATTCTCGCAAACTCGTCCCATCAGGTTCCGAACATGATGAAGAGCGACAACAAATCAGATCTAGGTTAAGAAAAAGTCTAAGAAACGACCGTGAGCAGTGGTGGGCAACGAAAGCAAAAGAGATGGAAAAGGCGGCGACTATAGGGAACACAAGACAGCTTTACAGACTAATAAAAGAAACTGGAACTAATAAGTGAAGTGTGAGATTATATCGGAAAAAGACGATACACTCATCTGCTCCCAGTCCAGGCGTTTAGAACGATGGGCGGAACATTTCAGAGAACAGTTCAGCTGGCCTTCAGCTACTCTACAACTACCCTCCATTCCCAGACAGTGTGAATGGAACGTTGAAGTAGGTCCCCCAACTCTTGCTGAAGTTCAAAAGGCTTTAGCTAATCTGAAACGAGGAAGGGCAGCTGGTCCAGATGGATTGGCTCCAGAGGTCTTTAAGGATGGTGGTCCAATTTTAGCGATTAGGTTGACTAATATTTTAGCTAAACTCTGGGAGTTAGACGTTATCCCATCTAACTGGTCACAATCACTTATCGTCTCAATATATAAGAAAGGGTCAAAATCATCCTGTAACAACCACAGAGGGATTAGTTTAACAAACATAGTATCTAAAATACTGGCCTCGATAATTATCAAACGCCTAACTAAGACTCGTGAACTACAAACTCGAGAGAACCAAGCTGGCTTTAGACCTGGTCGTGGCTGCATCGACCACATATTCACCATTCGTCAGGTTCTAGAACACAGGCATACCTATCGGCGTCCGACGATGGTGGTATTTCTTGACTTAAAAGCAGCATTTGACTCGGTAGACCGCGAGACTCTGTGGCAGTGTCTGTCATTGAAAGGCGTACCTCAGAAGTACATAAACCTTGTGAAGGCTCTTTACTCGAACACTACTAGTCGAGTCAGGGCTTATGGCGAACTGTCATCTACTTTTGCAACCTCAAGTGGTGTCCGTCAAGGCTGTCCACTTTCTCCATTTTTGTTTAACTTCATCATAGACCTATTGATGGAAATAACACTCTCGTCGACTGAATTCTCGGGTATTGATCTCCTACCAGGTCTACTTATCGACTTAGAATACGCAGATGACATAGTCCTGTTTGGTGAAGACGCTGACAAAATGCAGAGTCTTCTGGTAGCACTAAGCAACAATCCCAGAATGTTTGGGATGAGCTTCTCTCCCTCTAAATGCAAGTTGTTGCTTCAGGACTGGTCTGGGTCAACACCTGAACTAAGGATAGGGAGTGAAGTAGTTGAACGCGTTGACAACTTCACTTATCTTGGAAGTCTGATCAGCCCTAATGGGTTGGTGTCTGACGAAATCTCAGCACGGATTCGAAAAGCTCGTTTGGCTTTTGCCAACTTACGTCACCTTTGGCGAAGGCGAGATATCCGTCTATCAATAAAAGGACGAGTATACTGCGCGGCAGTTCGTTCTGTTTTAATTTACGGCAGCGAAACATGGCCCTTAAGAGTAGAAGACACCCGTAATCTACTAGTATTTGACCACAGATGCCTTAGAAATATTGCTGGCGTCTGTTGGGATCACCGGGTAAGTAATAGTGAGGTTAGACGCAGGGTATTAGGGAATGATGGTAAATCAGTTGATGAGGTTATGAATCTTCATCGACTGAGATGGTTGGGTCACGTATTACGTATGCCTGAACACCGATTACCACGACGTGCAATGCTAACCGGGGTAGGGGATGGTTGGAAGAAAGTTAGGGGCGGCCAAACCAAAACGTGGCATCAGTGCCTGAAGTCACTAACTTCTAGTCTGAGCCATGTTGGTAGATGCAGACTACTTGGTTGGGGTCCGCGTGACTTTCGTAACCAATGGTTGGAGACTCTTGGTGACATGGCTCAGAATCGATCACAATGGCGTCGGTGTATACACTTCCTGTCTTCTCTTAAACTAAAAGATTAAAATCACTTCATTCTTTCTGTCTACGAACTAATTCTTTCTTCCTATGCTATATCCTTATTGCAACCTTTGACCTAACCACTCCTATGAATCCGCTGTTCATCTTGCTGTGCTAATGAAGTATGGCAACCTGGACCGATGCACATATGTGCCTGGTCCTACGTTGTAGCTGACTGACTGAAATTATATCTAGGGATTTAGTATCTTTAGCATTACTGTAGTTAATCGCTTTTATTTTTGTCTTCATGATTTTTTAGTGTTATAGTGATACTAACTAGCGTAAGGGACATAATACAACACATATTTCTATTTGAATCCCGTGGGAGACAGGAAACTAAGAGAAACAGTACGATCACTAGGACATTGTCTCATAAGAACCACAGTTCATTACGTACCAAATTTTTAAGTGAAACGTTAACACGAAGGTTTGTTTAATTTGAAAGAGACAGGTCACATCCGAAGTTTTTGAGATGATGTCTGGGTATTATTAATTTTACTCACTACGCTATTCGTTAGGCTTTAGAACTAAATGTTATCCATTTTAAGTAATCTCAGTCGTCGGTTGCTCCATTTTGGAAATAGAAACAATTGTCTGATATATAGGTCAAGTTAAAGGAGATCTCGCCCTGTTATAAGTCCAGATAGATCACATGCTATCATAAGGGCTGATAGCCGCTATGAAGTGCACACATGAACTGACTTACTGCAAGCATTTTGATTATTCGTCCCTTTCCTTTTAGGTAGCTAGATAGGCAAGCGTTTAAGAAGCGTGCATTATGAATGAGTTGGATTATTTATTTATTTATTTGAACACATAAATATTGGTACAAGAGAGCGCCAATATATATGCGCCACACAAAACAATGGGAATTCGAAGAGAAGTAGAAAGAAAAAAAAACTAAGGAACGCAAAAGAAAAAGAGAGTAATGACGAAGAGGTACAATCAGAAGAAATCTTTCAGGTAAAGGAGACACAACCACTTTTTATGAAGAAAGTAAAAGAAGGTTACAGCAGGATCGCCACTGGCTTCTATTCTGAGCCATATCTGATAACGTCTCTAGCCACTGTGTAGCACCATCTCTCGGACCCCAACCAGGGAGTCGTGAAGGACCAACACAAGCCAGTCCTTTGCAGCTTTCTTTCATGCCACGACACCATGTCATGCACTGACCACCTCTCCGCTTTTTCCAACCAGTCCCAGAGTCGGCAAATAATGCACGACGTGGAATTCTCTGGGACGACATTCGGAGAACATGTCCAAGCCACCGAAGTCGGTGTTTCAAGATGGTGACACCAATTGAGTTATCATCTCTGTGCCCGAACACACGATGCCGAACCTCTGCATTACTGACATGGTGTTGCCACTGAATGTCAGCAATCCTTCGGAGACAGCGATGATCGAACACAGAGAGTCGTCTAACGTCCTCAACACGGAGAGGCCAGGTTTCACAAGCATAGAGCAAAACTGCTCTCACCGACGCGTTGTAGATCCGGCCTTTTACAGCCAGACTAACATCACGAAGGCGCCAAAGGTGGCCCAGATTGGCATAAGCCGCTCTGGCTTTCACTATTCGTGCATTGATCTCATCACTCACACCCCCACCAGCACTTATGCAGCTACCCAGATACACGAACTTCTCAACTACTTCTATCTGCTCACCATCCAGGGTGAGTACAGGATTAGAATCCTGCCAGTCTTGTAGAAGTACTTTGCACTTCGAAGGTGCAAAGCACATACCATACCTACGGACATTGATTGCCAACTGATTAAGTGCGGATTGCATGCCTTGGGCATTATCGCACAGTAAGACAATATCGTCCGCATACTCAAGGTCGAGAAGTCTTTCTCCAGGCAACAGATCCACACCACCATTACTTTCATACATCAGAGCTGTTTCCAGAATGTCATCGATGGCAAAGTTGAAGAGGAATGGTGAGATTGGGCAACCCTGCCTAACCCCACTACTCGAATGGAACAATGGAGAGAGGTGGTTGTATGCCCTCACTCTGCCTGAGGTGTTTTTATACAGGGCTTTTAGGATGTTAATAAACTTCTCAGGCACACCCTTCTTCAATAGACAATCCCAGAGAACAGTCCTATCCAACGAATCGAAGGCAGCCCTGATGTCAAGAAACACTACGAATCAAGTGATTGTTTTTCAAAGCGACAAAAGTAGTTTCCATAGACATAAACAGTTCATCATTTGTGTGTGGGCTGTGATACTGCCCGGGTGCCCAAACCGAAGCAGGTGGTTATCTTAGGGGGCCACTCCCCGAGCCTTTGACCTAAAGGTCTAACCCACAAGGCAGTGGAGCATCGTAAGGAGATGCAGTCCCATGGTAGCCGGTGACCAACGATTGGTTCATACGCCATTCGTTCCCGCAGGATACTGGAGCCCATGTGCACCATTGATTTGGAATCCGGTTAAAGCGCCGGACATTCGCTTCTCGTCCTCTCAATTTCGTAAACAATACATAACCCCGCCACGAGAAGGCAATGAGTAGGACTTCCCTGGCAGAGGCTATATACGCGTGGCCGTGTGAGAGTATTTCGAGAGGGAGAGCGGACTCTCCCCACTCTTGGCCGTACCAGGGCATTCAGGGGGCGGCCACAGCCTAGTCCGGTCTAGATGACTTGATTGAGATGCTGCGGTGGGTTGTGCTCGAGTCGTGGATTAGAAGATGATAAAGTCTTTATTCAGTAAACACAGAAAACTAGTTTGAGTAAAATGAATTTAAGTTCCTGGTATCCCGCCATCGTGGACACTATAGTTTCTGTGTCCTGTTATTTGGTTGAACACATTAACATTTGACTTTTACTGAATTCTTAGATGTACAAGATTAGTAAGTGTAGTGAGTTAGTATACCTTCATGATATACAAACGTGATTATGTAATAAATCTGTCGATTCTTACATTGTCAATCAAATCACTGAAGTTTATTCATGATGGCACCCTTGATCATATCATAGTTAATTTTGAGTTGTCACTTTAGTGCTTTTCGTCAGTGATGAACATTTTCATTGGTGTTGCCTGGTCTCATTTTTAGTCCGCTTGTTTTGTCTTACTGTTTGTATAATGTTCTGTGTTTTTTTATCTTTTAGTATGATGGTCCTGTCAGGGATATTGACTTGAATATGTTTGCGATCGAAGTACTTGATTGTGAAGACAGTAAGTTTGTGTGGTTTATGTAAAGTTATTTAAGCTATTCTCTTATTCTGTCCTCAACCAATTAAAATTGTCGCGTACGTTTGGCTCTCTTAATGATTTTGTAGCAGAAACAATAAGATCTACAGAGCAAAATAAAAAAATCATGGTATTTAGCAAATTTTGTTCAAATTAAAAAAGTTTTGAAAATTGCACCACGTTATATTTCGTCCTATATATATATATATATATATATATATATATATATATATATATATATATATATATATATATATATATATATATATATGTCATGTAGAGCTTGCGATATACTGTTATTGAATCTTTTCTTATTTCCTACTCTCGAGTTTACAATATATGATATAGCTTTGATGCAAATCAGTGTTGTACGAGACAACAGATAGTTTGTTTCACATGATCAGCGCTACCCTGGTTATACACCCGATTTGTGTGGTGAATACTTATTAGTCTTTATATACATTAAGAACAATTTTGAAACTGATTTTAGTTCTTTCTTAAGTTCAAGTTTGGTTCCATAACTTAACTGACTTACCACGTTCAAGTTTAACACCATACAAATGTTCCACTGTTTTAAAAGTTGTAACGTGTGTGTGTGGCGTCATCTCGAGAGAATACTGAAAATGGGGGATTCTGTCACATCAGAAGGTTAAGTTTATTAAAACATTGGGGAATATCATTGTTTCCTAAAGCATGTTTATTTGTGATGAAGGTTTACAATTTAGGTGGATGCGTTTAGTGGCATTAATTGCGGATTTTCCTCCGCTGTTCTAAACAACATCAATTCCTTTTTCATATGGTAGTGGCCGATATTATTATTGTTCACAATGACAATAGAAGCTTCACAATTAAACCATTTAGCTCAGTAAATACGGAGCTACTGAAATGTCCATCTATGCTTGCTAAGAGTTTTCAGTATTTCAACTTAAACAATTCAAATTACTTTCGTTTATTTTTTAAATCGAAATCACTCTAAATTATCTTCCAATAAGATCGTTGATGTGTTAGGGGATTCAGTTAATCGGTTCGGATCTCTAGATCTAGGTTTCTTGGTATTTAGAACTCACCAACAAGGTGTATTTAGAATTTATTTTCAGAGATGTAATGTTAAACATTCACAGCATAAAGCTCTTTTCATATTTCAGACGATAATAGAACTGAATTAACAGGGGATTGTGCTATACCGGGAGTTAGCGAAATTCACGAAAATGGATATAATAATGATGGTTAGTTAATTATCATTTCTATTGGTTGTTTTGTTTTCCACCATAAAGTACGCATAATTGTACATTCTGTTTTTAATCTGAAGTACGTTATTTATAAAAATAATCCGTAACAATGCTCACATTCAGATAGGAGTGGTTTAGTGGTAAGGCAGTCCAACTGTCAGCCAGGTCACAGGTTTGAATCTTGCTCTGCTTACTAACTTTTGAGCCGTTGAGTATTGTAGCGAGTCCTATCACTTAATGTGTGATTTGAAACCAAGTACATCTGATATTTTACAGGCATTATGATCACAAAGGCTTCACAAATGCATTAAGTAAGAATATACAATTCTTGTTTCTTCATGCGAGAATTGCCTTTTCTTCTGATCCTATCAAATTCACGTGACAAACCACCATTCGGAATATCGTCTTCTGTGACCTTGTCCCTAAGCCAATCAGTACTAGTAGTTTTGAGTCAACTCTAAATCCTCTTTGTTCTTCGATAAAGTGGCTTTTTGCCTTTCTCTGCCCGCTGAGTTCAGAACAGGATAGTAAATTGTATATTAGTACTTAATGGGTCAAACGAAGGCTTTTCATGAAAGGAATATAAAAATGTCTAATTTAACTACTTAATTATACAATAAGAAGGTATGTATGTACATAATTATTACTTACCTACCTCTGTTACCTCTCGTGGATGAACACAGGCCGCCCACCAGCATTCTCCATCTAACTTTGCCTCCGCTCTTCTTTCACGGTGTTTCCAAGTGCTGTTCATTCTTTTAATGTATGCTTCCGATTCCCGACGTAGTTCTTCGGTCTTCCTCTTTTCATTTCAACTTCAGGCCTCCAAGTTAGCGCTTGCTTCAATGTGCAGTTTGATTATTTGCACTGTGCATATCCTATCCACCCACAACGTCTTTTGCCAATTTCCTCTTCAACTGGAAACTGGTTTGTTCTCTCCCACAGTAGTTTATTGTCGATGGCATCCGACTAACATGTATTGAGTATCTTGAGTAGACATTTGTTTATAAATACTTGTACCTTTTTGATTATGGTTGTGCTAGTTCTCGAAGTTTCAGCTCCGTACAGTAGGACTGACTGATTGACTGACTGTCTTGACGTTCGCATTGAAGATTGTGACTTTGATGTTGGTTGAGAGACAGTTGTTTGGAGTTGCATATGTTGTTCAACTGTAGAGATGTTGTGCTTACTTTGCCTATGCTTGTCTCTACTTGTGCATCAGATCCTCCTTGTACATCGATGATGATGCTGCTGACCAGGTGGGTGGAAGTTTCCACCTGTTGCAGAGTTTCTCCATCGAGTGTGATTAGTTTGGTTGGTGTTTTCTGTGTCTTATTTGAGGGTTTTGCTTCTTCCCTTGTGTATGTTGAGGCTTACTGATGTAGGGACTGCTATTATACTCTCTATCTTCACGTGCATTTGTTGGTGTGTATGAAGTGTAAGTGCTAGGTGATCTGCGAAGTCGAAATAATCTAGTTGCATGCAAGCTGTCCATAGTATTCTGTGCTTTTCCTGAGATATGCGGGTCATCATAACCCATTCGTCTGCCAGAAGAAAGAATAGAGAGAGAGAGAGAGAGAGAATAAGTTGCCTTGTCTGATATCGGTTTTCACTTGGAGTGAGTCTGTCAGTCGTCCTCAATGAACGACTTTGCAGTGTAGTCCGTCGTTCCATTCCTCCAGTCAGTCCATATCCTTCTATGTTATCTTTATGCCCAGTGTTGTTCATTCTGAGTTTGGAGTTTTTGTCTCCCATCAGGATGGTCAGGTCTCTTCCTGAGCATCATCCATGTGACTTCTGAAGTATCTCGTCTTTCACCATGAGGCGTTGTAATTCTTCTGAATGAATATCCTTTAACTCGGAGGTTATAATTTAAATGTTTCAATTTGTTTAATCTGGTTGATGTTTTTTACCAAGATGTTTACTACTGGATGCGGTTGCTGACCACAAAGCCAACCCACCCTTTTCCGACTTCGGAACCGACAGTAACTGTAGAAGATATAGAGGCAAAGTTAAGTACTTATATGTAGTCCATAAATATTTCCTGGATGTTACCTCTCAAATATTCTCAATCGGATATAACAGGAGATTTCATATCTACGTTTTTATTCCTCTATTTTTTATCAGTTAAGATCAGTCAGTCAGTTAGTAACAACGTATAACTTCGTAAGTACGTACATCAGTTCGAGTTGCCACACCACCTTACCACAGAGATGCAGTTGTCGATTCAAATCCCGTAGTGCTAGATGTAGTAAAATTATAAGATGTTATCAGAAAAATTAGGGTTTGAAGATGTTATTCAAGGAGTACAATCCAGTGAAATAAATTTGGAAAGAGAAAAAAGAAAGGGACATGAAGAATTCAGAAGATTAGAATTTGGGAGAACACAAAGAGTTGATGCACTTGCTCCATTACAAACGATTTTCAGCCTTGGCATTCAGGGTCTCTAACCATCGGTTGCTATCATCTCGCGCTCACCAACCAGGTAGTCTACACCTACCAACATGACCCAGTCCACTTGTCAGTGACTTCATGGACTTGTGCCATGTTTTGGTCTGGCCGCCCCTAGCTTTCTTCCAACCTACTCCTATACTATTGAACATCGCACGTCGGGGCAGTCGGTGGTTGGGCATACGTAACACATGTCACAGCCATTTCAACTGATGAAGTTTCACAATTTCATCAATTGATTTGCCATCCCTACCTAGTACCCATTTCCTAACAAATGCGTTACTTACTCGATGGTCCCAGGATATACGAGCAATATTTCGAAGACACCTATGATCGAATACTAGTAACCTACAAATATCCTGTGCTCTTACCGACCATGTTTCACTGCCATAAAGTAGGACGGAACGAACTGCTGCGCAGTAAACACGTCCTTTGGTTGATAGACGGATATCTCGCCTACTCCGTAAGTGACGCAAGTTGGCAAAAGCTAGTCGAGCCTTCTGTATCTGTGCTGAGATTTTGTAACACGCCAGACCACAAGAGCTGATGAGACTTCCAAGATAAGTGAAGAGGTCGACACGCTCAACCACTTCACTCTCTATCATTAGTTCGAGTGTCGATGCAACCCAATCCTGAAGCAACATTTTACATTTCGAGGGGGAGAATCGCATTCCGAACATGCCTGCATTGTTGCTTAGAGTGGTCAGAAGACTCTGCATTTTGTCAGCGTCTTCACCAAATAGAATTATGTCATCAGCATATTCTAGGTCAAAAAGTGAATTTCCAGGTAGAAGTTCAACCCCTGGAAATTTAGATGAGGAAAGTGTTATCTCTAAAAGCACGTCAACGAAAAAGTTAAATAAGAATAGGGAGAGTGGACAGCCCTGACGAACACCACTTGAGGTAATCAATTCTGATGGCAGTTCGCCATAAGCTCTCACTCGACCAGTTGTGTTCGAGTAGAGATCCTTTATAAGGTTAATGTACTTCTTTGGTACCCCTTTCAGTGACAAACACTGCCATAGAACCTCACGATCAACAGAGTCGAATGAGGGGGGCGCCTAAACGTGTGTCTATGTTCTAGGACCCAACGTGGTGTGAATATCTGGTCTATACAACCACGTCCAGGTCGAAAACCAGCCTGATTTTCTCTAGTCTGCTCTTCACGAGCTTTGGTTAGGCGTCGAAGTATTATTGAAGCTAATATTTTAGACACTATATTAGTCAAACTGGTTCCTCTGTGCTTGTCACAAGAGGACTTTTCCTTTCTTATAGACTGGCACAATCAGTGATTGAGACCAGAGTCGGATGGGATTACGTCTAGTTCCCAAATTCTACCTAAGACCTCGGTTAATCTCACTGCTAATACCGGACTACCTTCCTTAAAAATCTCAGAGATAAACCTGTCAGGGCCTTCTGCTCTCCCTCGCTTCAGATTTCCTGTAGCTTTTTCAGCATCGTAAAGAGTTGGAGGACTTACATTAACTTGCCATTCAGGTCGACTGAAAATTGTGGGAAACCGAAGCGTGGCTGAAGGCCAGTTGAACTGATCCCTATGGTGTTCTGCCCATCGGTTAAGATATTTCCGCCGCTGTCCTTCGGATATTATAAGTGGTAGTTATGTGTGTATAGATCTTGTCTCAGAAATAATATTATAGATTGTTGTAATCTATTTTATAGGTATTTTTTATTATGGTATAAGATAATTTATAGGAGTTAATTTCATTCCTCAGTAAAGTGAATTATCAACCGTAAAGCAGGATTTAAAATCATGTACTAAGATAATGACAACGGACGCTTGTATTTGGACCTGTAGCGTTCTTCTATCACAGTAAGTATACTGGATTTGTGTATCATGGGAAATGTATCTAGAATATCTTCTTCCACACTGTGGGTATGTGAGTCTGTCATGACCGCAATCTCAATTAGTGAATTGTAACATATCAACAAAATATAAGAAGTTAAAATGTCTTTCGTCTTCGCTATATTTTATCGAGAATATATTGATACTGTTAAATAATGTTTCAGTAGTGTAGTTGTAAATTGTCAAGACTACCAAGCAACTAATCTCATTAGTCATCAATGAAAAAATTGCAAATAAAATATTTACATTCCTGCGCTCAAAATCCAACTGGTTGTTTGTTTCCTTATGTTTCTACACTACATTTTGTTTCTTTGTATTTCGAGGCAGTATTCGTCAATGATTGAGTTTACCTAACGAATCACTGAAAACCAGGATTCACAGGGTAGACATTACCTCTCAGTTTGGGAGTCGTTGGGAATATGGTGTCAACAGTGTAAACTACCCAGGATATCAGCAAAGGTTAGTCGGATTCTAATGTGAAACTGTGTAGAACGCCACACGGTGAAGCTATGTAGTCTTCATTAATCAGGAGCAAGAACCTTGAAGATACGTTTTTAGCAGTTATTAATCCAATTGGGAATGGAAAATCGATTGATTAATCAAACAGATTTAATTCGACAAGATAGTTGTTTTATTGACGGTTATCTCAAGGGTGATTGTTGCGTATTACTTCAAGTCGATCTCTTACGATTTTTTTTCAATGTAGATGTGGTGATCGATGAAGAACTGTTTGATGAAACAGATCTGGCTGACATTGAAGCCGAGATAAACGAATTGGAATTGGAAGCCTAATTTTATCTGGCTATATATGTGGTTAGTTTCGTGACAGTGATGCTGTTGTTCGTGATTATGAGTGATTACATCTGAGTCAACAAAACTGTCCTCATCTTAAATTGTATTTCTTATTTCAGTTTTTGTACAAAGATACTTCTTTCCCATTATATTTTGCCTATCTAATTTTATACTGAGTAAATGTGAGTACAATCTGAACTATCTGATTTCTTTCGTACACATTCAACAGAATTTCATGTGGCTTTTTCCGTAACACTTAGGCGTCGTCTTTTTCGTGTTAGTAATATATATCCATAAAGATTCCATACAAGGATATAATACAGGAAGAAAGAATTATTTCGTAGAAAGAGAGGTATAAAGTAATTTTAATCTCACCGACACCATTGTGATCGATTTTGAGCCATGTCACCCAAAGTCTCAAATCATTGGTTATGATAGTCGCGCAGACCCCAACCAAATAGCTTGCATCTGCCAACATGGTTCAGACCAGAAGTTAGTGACTTCAAGGACTGATGCAACGTTTTGTTTTGGCCACACCTAACTTTCTTCCAACCGTCTCCAGCATTAGTCAACATTGTGCGTCGTAATAATCAGTGTTCAGGCATAAGCAACACGTAGCCCAACCATCTCAGTCGATGAAGATTTACAACCTTATCGACTGATTTATTATCATTCCCTAATACCTTGCGTCTAACCTCACTATTATTTATTTATTTGGACACATGAATATTGGTACAAGAGGGCACCAAATACATACGCGCCACACAAAACAATGAGAATTCGAGGAGAAAAAAGAACAATAACGAACAGATTACTGTAAGGTAGTGTAATAATAATAATAATAGTGATAATAATAATAATAATAATAATAATAATAATAATAATAATAATGGGGGAAACGGAGAGGTACAATCGGAAGAAATTTTTCAGGTAAGGGAGACACAACCACTTTTTTATGAAGAAAGTAAAAGAAGGTTACAGCAGGATCGCCACTGGCTTCTATTCTGAGCCATATCTGATAACGTCTCTAGCCAATGTGTAGCACCATCTCTCGGACCCCAACCAGGGAGTCGTGAAGGACCGACAGAAGCCAGTCCTTTGCAGCTTTCATTCATGCCACGACATCATGTCATGCACTTGTGATGTGAGCTACTTATATTCATGTAAGTAGTATATAACGTGCGTTAAAAGAACGTAATGTCCGGCAGCAGAAGATGGCGAAGATCAAGAAAGGAAGAGCAAGAGCAGAATGGAATTGTAAGAAAACGCATGTACAATGGAATGGGAGACAATGGATTAGTGTTTGCAACGGGAACAGTGCAGTTTCATATGATGGAATGATATTTTGCAAATTGACGATTGACTTTATGGTATTCACATTTTATTGAGATAGTCTGTAATCTTTGTGCTAAATACAATCGATTGTCCCCACCCGTGTTCTTCTTCACTACACACTGACCACCTCTCCGCTTCTTCCAACCAGTTCCAGAGTCGGCAAATAATGCACCACGTGGAATTCTCTGGGACGACATTCGGAGAACATGTCCAAGCCACCGAAGTCGGTGTTTCAAGATGGTGACACCAATTGAATTATCATCTCTGTGCCCGAACACACGATGCCGAACCTCTGCATTACTGACATGGTGTTGCCACTGAATGTCAGCAATCCTTCGGAGACAACGATGATCGAACACAGAGAGTAGTCTAACGTCCTCCACTCGGAGAGGCCAGGCTTCACAAGTATAGAGCAGAACTGCTCTCACTGACACGTTGTAGATCCGACTTTTTACAACCAGACTAACATCACGAAGGCGCCAAAGATGGCTCAGATTGGCATAAGCCTTTCTGGCTTTCACTATACGTGCATTGATCTCATCACTCACACCCCCACTAGCACTTATGCAGCTGCCTAGAAACACGAGCTTCTCGACTACTTCTATCTGCTCACCATCCAGGGTGAGTACAGGATTAGAATCCTGCCATTCTTGTAGAAATACTTTGCACTTCGAAGGTGCAAAGCACATACCATACCTACGGACATTGATTGCCAACTGATTAAGTGCGGATTGCATGCCTTGGGCATTATCGCACAGTAAGACAATATCGTCCGCATACTCAAGGTCGAGAAGTCTTTCTCCAGGCAACAGATCCACACCACCATTACTTACATACATCAGAGCTGTTTCCAGAATGTCATCGATGGCAAAGTTGAAGAGGAATGGTGAGATTGGGCAACCCTGCCTAACCCCACTGCTCGAATGGAACAATGGAGAGAGGTGGTTGTATGCCCTCACGTTGGCCACTGAAAAGTAAGGTTAAATTGGCGCAGACCAGGGCATGATCAGAGTCCAGATAGGTACTCCAAAAGGAGCGGTAGTCTTGTACACAACCATACCAGCGGTAGCTGATCGCGATGTGATCAATCTGAGTCCAGGCTTGAGATGAAGAGGGAGGACGCCAGCTGGCACATCGGCGATGACTGTGCCGAAAGTTAGTACTATCCGGAAACAAGTGCTCTGTGCGCAGTTGCAGTAGACGGTCCCCGTTATCTGACCTGCGACCAACGAGTCCCCATCGGCCACCTAAACGACTCTCTTTTGTGCCTAGACACCCGACCTGAGCATTCAAGTCTCCGGCTAGTACTACAAAATCTGTCGAACGCACTTTCTGGAGAAGAACAGATAACTGGTGGTAAAACTCATCCTTGATTGCATCCGGGCTGCAGTCTGTTGGAGCATAGGCGGAGTTGACGAAAAGACATCGTTTCTCACGTCGATTTCTTCTCACTGTGATGGAACTTTCTAATCTTACTGCAAATAACAGACTGTTAATGGTAATCCAATTTATTAGTGCTGCCTCAGCTCTAGCGCTTAGTGCGACACCAACGCCAGCAAGACCAGACGAAGATGCCACAGGGTCTCCGGATAGACGCACGTAAAACAAGCTTTTCGAAGCGACAGATGGAGATTGAATTTGTAGTACTTCACGAGAGTCTTGAGCACGGGTCTCAGATAGACAGCAGACATCGATATTAAAACTTTCCAAAACATAGCCAGTCTTGTCTGTTGTCCGACCGGCATAAGTGTGCGAACGTTGAAGGCAGCCAGTTTGAATGGTGCACGTGGTTTCATAAAAACTGCTTCAGTATTAGTTTTTTTGTGGTAGCATACAATGTTCAACCAGGCAGTGACTCAAGAACGTTTAGATACATTCGAATTTCCTCCATAGACGAGCTGCTGTATAAGTCGAAAAAATAAGTGTAGACAGAGTAGGAATAAAAGAGGGTGAATAATGACGTAGTAAATAATAAAATTAATAATTTGAATCATTTGATTGTTTTTCGAAGCAAGAAAAGTAGTGTCCATAAGTATAGACAGTTCATCATTTGTGTGTGGGTTGTGATACTACCCGGGTGCCCAGACCGAAGCAGGTGGTTTTCTTAGGGGGCTACACCCCGAGCTTTTGACCTAAAGGTCTGATTCACAAGGGAGTGGAGCATTGTGAGGAAATGCTGTCCCAAGGTAGCTAGTGACCAACGAATGGTTCATACGTCATTTGTTCCCTCGGGATACTGGAGCCCATGTGCACCATTGGTTTGGAATCCGGCTAAAGCGCCGGACATTCGCTTTTCGTCCACATTTTCATAAACAACAACCACGCCACGAGAAGGCAGTGAGTAGGACTTCCCTGGCAGAGGCTATATACGTGTGGCCGTGTGAGAGCATTTCGAGAGGGAGGGCGGGCCCACCTCACTCTCGGCCATACCAGGGCATTTGCGGGCAACCTCACTATTACATATCCGGTGATCCTAGCAGAGGCGAGCAATATTTATAAGGCATCTGTAGTTAAATACTAGTATCCTCCGAGCATCGTCTACTCTTAATGGCTACGTTTCGTAGCCGTAAAGTAAAACAGAACGAACTGCCGCGCAGTATACTCGTCCTTTTATTGATAGACGGATATCTCGTTTTTGCCATAGGTGAGGTGAGTTGGCAAAAGTCAAACGAGCTTTTCGAATCCATGCAGAGATTTCATCAAACACCAATCCACCATGGTTGATCAGACTTCCATGATAAGTGAAGTTTTCGACGGGTTCGACTACTTTATTTCCTATCCTGAGTAAATCAGTAAACTGACGTTAGTGAAGAAATATGTTGTGCGAATCAAATTTACCTATTAATTTAGTGAGGCAATCCAATGAATGACATCGTGCATTGTAGTTCAAAATTATTGTCAATTTACTGTTGAGTTGATGGTTAATTCTGGAGTTGCGGATCATGCGATGACGCCTACAATCAATAACTACTAATGCGTGATATTTTGACGGCTTATTTGAAGAGAATTCTTTTTCACTTTACCATTAGCATTTTACCATACACAATGAGGATTTATAGTATATTCAAACAAAATTACCATCTATAAACGAATATTTATACGAGACAATATCAGGCTGGGCAATATAACTCTGATTACAACTCTGTAATCAATTAGTGTGGGGTAGCCAGTAATTGTCAAGCTGTCAGCGAACTACAATACTATGGGTGACAATAGTATTATTATTGTTGGTATTGTTATCAGGGGATGACTTAATCGATTGAAGTGAGACTAACATGTGAAACTGATCGTCCATGACACGTAATATCATTTTGAGGAGTAATTATATGACTTTTTCGATTGGCTATATTTTTGAGGTTACAGATGCTTAATTGCATGATGTAAATGTGTTAACTCAGTAAGTTATTGGCCAATTAATGTAAAATACTATTCAGTTCAATTAATAGAAATCTGACTGTTAATGTAGTTTATTCATACCTGATTTTGATTTTTTTTTCTTGAGTCAAATTCATGTCTCCAGTCTTTGTTTTCTCACTACGCGTCGTCGGAGTTGAGGTCTCAATACCAATGACAAGCCAGTTAGGCATATCCGCAGACAACAATTATTATTACTACCATAAACTGTTTTATGAGCTTAGAAGCTTTAAACTGATGTGTTTCACTTTAGTTTTTCTCTATTATTAGAAATAATATTCGTTCTGCTGTAACTAATAGAATGTTTGTGAATAAACGTGTATAATTAGGCAAACACACCATATATAGTTTACTGAAACAGGATGTTACATTGAGTGTTGTGTAATAAAGGGTATGGTATGGCAACAGTGTATTTTCTGAATTCTTTATTTAAAATTGTTCATTAGTGA